TTACCTTTCCTGGATCAGTGTTCTCAGGATTGGGGACCGAGGACCCTTTCTTATTGCCTCCTCTTCTTATAATTTTTGTTCCCTCCATACAGGAGTATATAGGAGGCCCAATTTCTTTCTTTGTCAGTTACAGTTTGTTTGAATTATGCTGACTAGGTGTTCGCGCCCACTGCAGTGTACTAGTGAGACACAGACCAGAGCAGCCTATGCTGGGCCTGCCTCTCCAGGTCAGTCAAACTGCTGGAGGCTTCACTCCATTAGGGTGCACTGCGAGTTGCAGGAACCAGGTTTGGGCTAGCCTACTGGGTCTTAGTCCATGCATCACCCAGGTCAAGCGCTCCCCACCAATCCCACTTGGGAGGGGAATATGTGACTGAAGTCACTGCAGTGCCCTGTTCCAGCTAGTATGCCTGGTCCCAGAATGTCATATGTTGGAGCCTCTTTGTCTATGGAAGGGTCCTCTCACTCACCGCAGGTTGATGCAGGGCTCCCCACCATATCTGCTCTCAATTCAGTTCACCAATTCCCGTACTCAGAGCTCTGGCATCTCTATCCCTGCTCTGCCTATTCAGATGCAGCAGGGGCAGGGAATTCAAAACACAGGTTCCAGAGGAAAAATTTCCAGTGGCATCATTGAGACTTTAGCTGTTCCAGTTGTAGCACTGGGATTTCATTTCCAATTGGTTTCTCTCAGCTTAGTTCATTCCTGGATCAGCAGGGTATATCTCCCCCTGCTTAGGACTACCCACACCACACCATTCCTGGAATGTAAGCTGGCTATCTCAGAGAGCCACTGTAGCTGCTGTTATCTATTCACCATGTTCCCTGCTCTCTCTGGCACTGTTTTCTTGTTTTACTGGTTCACTACCATGAACTAACAAATTTTTTGCTCCATTTTGCCTGTGGCCATGATGCTCCTCTCTGGAACCAACTGACCCCGGACTGAATCTCCTTAAACATGACCAAATTGAATTCCCCCCCCCTTATGTTGGACGTATTGTGTCTCAGCCACAGGCAAAGTTAAGGAAGTCTTTCAAGTTACCTGTGGGAAATTAGGTTCCCCCATAGACTGTCACTGGCCTCAATGTAAACTAAGGTGTTTTTTGTTTTTTGTTTTTTTTTTACCAGGAATTAAACTCAGGACCTTGCACTTACCAGGCAGGTACTTTGCTGATAAGCTAAATTTCTGGCCCTACTTGACATGTTTGATTAGTGACTTGAGATGTCTGGAGGAATAAATTCTCATCCTGAGATTTTTCCAAGTGGAGTTCACCCAATAACTGGTGATTCTGACATTCTGACTCTACCTTCTCTATAAGGTTAATTCAACTGATGATGACTAGAGTTGGACATCTACTAACCCACCCAATAATTATTCTCGTAGGGATTATTGGAAACTTCATTTAAAAGTACATAGAACAATTTCAGTTTTCTCGTGTCCTTGAGTACACTTACTTAAAAGTGTACACTTCACTCAAGTCATTTGCCATGAGCAATAATAAAATTAAGGAGCTGCTTTAGACTGTGAATGGATGGTATTTAAAAACAAATACTGCTCTTAAAAATACCACAGAGACATATTTTTTAAAGTGATTTTCAGTTCATCTTGGAGAACAGAAGCACTCAATTTAACACATGAGACTTACAGCTCTGCCTCTGGGTGTGAGAGTTCACATCCATCAGAGGAGTGGGAGCTGCTGGGGACAGGCCAGAGCAGGGTCAGTTTGCCATTAACCTAGAATGAGTGTCTCTCTAGACTTCAGGCCATAAGTAAAAAGACAGTAATTTCTCTTTTTCTCCAGGATGAAAATGGGGAAAACTGAAAGATTATATATAAATATAAATTATAGAGACTTAAATTGCAGAAGAGTTTAATTTCATATTTCAAAATCCAATCTCAAAAAGTTGAAATGTCACACTTTATACTGTGATCCTATATTAAAACTATAACTTTCAGTTAAAGGGGAAAATAATTCCTCCTAACACTTTTGTATATTGTCTCCCAATAGAATATGAAAGCTTTGGACCATCACTCAGTGTTGGCTGTGCATAGGTTTTAGAGTCACTTGTATATGATGAAGAGAATCCCAGAGCTGCCTATGCTAGTGCATTGCCTCAGTTCCTCCTCAGTTCATTACAGAGCCCCTCTGATTAGGTCTCCCTGGAGAGCAGGATGATGAGCCCTATGCTTGCCCATCCCCCAAGCTGGGGGCTGATGACCTCCTGGGCCACAGGGACTGCAGGTACCACTGAGCACTCTTGTCTCTTGTTGGCCACACTTGTTCATTTCCACCATTTCCAACCAAAGAACTTGAAATACCTCAAAGCCATCATTTGTCCCCAGATGATGAGCTCACTGTTTACTGAAATACTTCCTTCTTAAAGGAATAAATCACAAAACAGGAAGCTGTGTCAGGAAGCATGAATTTGACTAGAATGAGAAGTGTAGGAAGACTAATAACATCGGTAATTTTAAGAAACCCTCACATTTATTTTATGAAAGAGCATTTCCACATCCGTTTTCTCATTTGGTTATCCACACCACTCAAAGATGTTAAATACCATACTAATGAAGAAAAGGACCCAGAGGTGACAGGATTTGCTCAGGTGCTATCACAATGGAAGCAAACTGGTCCTCAAACTCAGAAGTCTGACCCCAAAAAGGCCCCACGCCAATGCATTGCTCATGTGAGCAGCACGCTTTGCTGCTGGATTCAAATGCTATGCTTTCCTAGCTTAGGGAGTAACATGAAAATCAACTGTAGCTCCAATAGAGCTCAGCCAAAAAAGTAAAGCAAGAAACTAAGAAAGTTATTGCAAAGCACTGCAGTGAAATCTGAAACTGAAAGAAGAAATATACCTACTTAGGAAAAAAGAGAAAGAGATGAAGAATTACCTGGTATAATTGGAGACTAATTCATGAAAACAACTGTACAGTGAATTTTGACATTTAATTCTATTTTTGAGTAGAGTTAAACAAAATGAATTCTAAACAAACCAACAACCAACACCCCAAAACAACAACAGCAAAACAGTACAAAGCAAGACATGCAGCTGAGAAGAGGCTACAGTAACAAAGACAAGAAGGCACATCTCAGGCCCCACACTGAGCTCAGGATGAGCCCTTGCTTACAGAAGAGGCTGTGCCTAGAGGTGCTGGATCCCCTCTCCCACACAGCTTCTGGCTTCCTGCCTGCAAATGCATCTTGCAGAAAGTCAGACTCCCTCAGAGGTAGTGGCAGCTGGCCCTGAGCTGGATTCAAATGGAGGCGAGTGGGCAGAGGATGCAACCACAGCACAGAGAGCAGGAAAGAGTGGGGTCAGGTCTCCTGACTTTCCATGATGGACTAAACATGTAAGTGATGCAGATGAGCATGCACTGACCCGAGGGTGGAGAGCAAGCAAAACACAATCAGAAGAAAGACTAGGAATTCCATCCATTTCAGTTACCCATCAAGGTCCAGTAGGCACAGGGAAAGGACAGAGCTTTTAGCAAAAGCGACCTCAGCATCAGCAGTCAACAGGCAGCTGCTCCCGTAACGCCCCATGAAGAGGTGCCACGTAGGCACTGCCCTGCTAGGGGTCAGGAGTTTTAGGTGTACTAGGAGCTGATGAAGTCCAGTATTTCTTCTGGATTATCCTTGGAAACAGTGTCTCTTTTCCTGCACCGCTTCTGTGCCTGTGACTCAGAGGTCCCCTGGCCGGGCTCAGGAAACACAGGGTGCTGCTGCACAGCGAGGGCAGTGGCTCAATGCACCCAGGGAATGGTGTGGTCACACCTGTCCTGTGACCTGGTGCGGCACTACCCTAGGTCCCTGCTGTCTCAGTGAGGTGGGATGTTGCCCAGGTCCTCAGGTAACTGGGCAAAGTTTTAGTTTTGAGCCCTGGCATGGTGGCGGCAGGGTGTTGAGTAAGTGGTCACTTCTGTGGTATTTCTCCTGGGCCCTCCCTGCAGACTTCTCAATGAAGTTCCCTCAGACCCCCTCTGCCAGGTACAAGCCAGCTTCTGCAGGTGGATGGGCTCTGTGGTCATCTCAGAGCACAGCCGAGGCTCTGCACCTCTTCTGTAGAATCAAATCCCTCCTGAACATGGTCTTTCTTAAACCCCTCCAGTCTGTCTGTGTGCACTGCACACTTGGAGTGGGCCCAACTGGGCCTCGGGGCCTCTGGGAGCGCCACATGCCAGGGCCTTTGCTGTGTCATCATCGGAGCAAGGGAGGGCACTGCTGTCCCCCCCACAGGCCAGGAAGATGACACTCAAGAGAGAGGGCTCTGCAGGGAGGCAGGGTGCTGCTTGCCCAGTGCAGAGCAAGTCCTGTGCCATGTGGGCAGGGCCCTGCCTGTCTTCTTGCCCCTTTCAGCACTCAAGAGTCCTCATAATCCCGGGAGTTCCTCAGTCCCTTCCTCCAGCAGGTGCTGTGAGTCCTCACCTCGGGGCTCAGCTGCCAGGGACTGCTGCTGCAGAGAGCCTCTGGGAGCACAGCACAGTGTGAGGACTTAGCTCTACTAGATGTGCATTTAAAATAGAGGGACAGTTCTATTTTATGTTACAATAAAATTTTATTAATGTTTACAGAAAATAACTACAGATACATGAAACCAGAAAAAATCCAAAAGGCAACATTTCCAGGTGAGGCAAGGAGATGTGCAATTGGAGTCCTGCAAGGTGAGGTGGTCTGAATTGTCCTGCAGACCGATGATCAGCCATAAGAGAGGAGAGAGAGGGAGATTCAGGTCAGGCTGGCCAGTTTCTGCCTGTCCAGCTCTGTTCACCCCATCCCCCCTTAGCTCCAATCCTGGTCCCTTCCAGTGGGCGCTGCTGTGGAAACAGTTGTGGCTCTAGCAGTGGCAGGAGAGGGACAGGACAGAAAATTCCTGAATCGCTCTTCTTTGTGCCTTTCCCAAGGCATATAGGCCATTTCCTGCCAGAGAAGCCCCAGGCACTGACCCAGACAGCAAGACGCCGTCCCATATCTTGTCCAGCTCCATTGGTGGTCCCATTCTCTTGCTTTGCTCCTGGCCAGCAGCAGCCTCTGGAAACCCCTCCTAGTGGTACCAGCATGACCTTTCCTGCATTCCCACCACCCACAGTCACTAACCCCAGCCTCCTACTCACATCTGAGATGAGATCTCTCTTAGCGGACTCTGAATTGGGTCGAGAGTGTGCACAAATGCTGGATGATGTCCGAGTCTGTAAGATTCAGGAGTGCATAGGCCACGAGCTGCTTGAGGTTGGCCGTGTCTGGGCACTGGCAAAAGTCTCCTGGGTAGTGGAGCAGCCAAGTCTCCAGGATGGAGCTCAGAGCCCTAGGAGGAGGGGGGCAGGAGAGTCAAAGGCCTGACTTCTCCCACTGCCCTAGGCTCTCTGTCATGCAGCCTGAGGGGAGCCCTGCTCAGCAGAGCACACCCTGCCAGCCAGCAGCTGGGCACAGAGGGCAGAGGTGTAGGGACCAGGTGTGAGTGATCTGTGTCCCGCACCTCCTGGGCAGCCTCCACCCAGCATGGCACCAGCATGACCTTCGCTGCTCAGGGATGGCATGGGTTCTCCTTGCTAGGAACAGACTGTGTACAGGTGCATCCTCACTGGAACCTGCTCCTTGCCCACCCCTGAGGCCCTCATGCACAAGAGCCCAAGCACAGCTGTCTCCCTCCTCCTCAAGGCCCAGCCTCTGATCCAGGCCCTCTAGTGGAAATCAATGGACAGTGAGTGACCCTGGTTTTTCCCACAGCCCAGTTCCTCCGATGCATCCCACTTTGGAGAGAGGATTCTTCCCTCCCTCTTAGCCCAATGGCCTTTTACCTCTTGTTCTGCTGGTCCTCTTCAGAGTTCGGAAGGAAGGAGGGGTACCTGGAAGAACCAGGAGAACGTGACCTTTGAGGACTCATTGTCCTTCCCTCCCAAGACGTCTAGGGGACCATGTGATTGTGGGATGGCAAAAGAGGCTGGGAAAGTTGAGAGTTTGGTAGGCATTGCTCCCTGAATGACAGGGAAGCCTCAGGAAAGGTTCTGCACACAGTAGGTGCTTGTAGACATCTGTGCTGTGGGTGAGCCCAGCCAGCTGTGCCCCCATCTCAAGACAGTACTGCCATGACTCCCCTAGGGGTCTCTGATCTGGATTCCTCTAGGCAGAAACCTAGAAAAATGAGGCTCCAGCTAGACAGTTCCTTCAAGGGGCAGATTGGGGAAGCCCCACAGCCCTGGGCTCCACCCCCTAACCAGAGCCAGACCTTGGTCATGCATTCTGGGGCATCAGCCTATTTGGTCCTGAATACAACACGTGAATGGAAGTCCTCTGAACAAACTATTTTCCCCAGTGATTATTAGGGTACAGAACGGTTCAGGGGGTTCATCCCCAAGAGCCTCCCAAGGGTCCAGGGTCCCCTGACTTGGAGGTGCGGCACACCTGAGGAACAGCAGATCCAGCACCTGCCGCGGGGTGGCGAACCTCCTGTAGATGGCCAGGAAGGCAGGCACAAAGAATGGGTACCCGCGCAGATGGGCGGGCACCAGGTTGTCCACCAGCTTCTTCAGCATGTCTGGCTCCATGCTCCCCACCTTGCCAGCATCCTCCAGCTTTGGGCTGGACTTCTTTGAGGCCTGAGGTGGCAGCGAGAATGGCTTTGGAAACACTAGCCGCTCTAAAGAGCTCAGCCCCTAAGTGGATCAGCTGCCAAACGCGTCCCCTGGTTTCACACCCACTCACGCACACTGCCCCACACACCACAGGGGCAAGCAGGGTTCTGGGCTCTCCCGGCTAACTCTGACCTGTTGGGTGCTCTCCTGTATCATCTTGGGAGTTCTGGGGTCGGTGTGCTCCAGGCTCTGGGGCTGACGACTGCCTGAGCCTCTCAGCCTTCGAATAAGACCCTCTTTCCACCAACTCTTGTGGCCTGAGCCTAGGCGTTTTGGGAAACAGCAAGAAAACATCGTCCTGACTGTTCTCTCTCTACCAGTAACTGTAATGAACCAGCCTCGAGAGTTCTAGGTTCTGTTAGGCGTGTTGTCAAGGAAGTGAGGTCACTTCCTCGTGTTCCCCTCCCCTACCTGCTTCTCCCATGTCCCCTGCAACTGATGGATGACCCTTCCCAACCTACTAGTTGCAAAACGGGAAACACCCAAACCCAACGTATCTTGCACTATTGTCTTTGTGTAGACCCCATCTTCTCCTGGGTAGAGACAGCTCATGAAGTACCAGGCCCTCCTTCTTCGTATTAAAGAAGCGGCTGTGGGGCTCAGCCCATAGATTAAAATTCGTTTTGGGTGAAGTCAGCTGAGGGCCAGTGTGAATTCTAGGGCTCTGGTTAGCTTTAGAGTGAGCATCAGGGCATGTCCTTGAATTAGGATTGAATGGTTATCACATCAGGTTGGTTTAGGAAACTAGCACCTGGTTAGGTTGACATTTTTTATGTTAAGTTCAGAGTTAGGGTCCTTTATCATGTGTGAGTCTTGGGGCTAGATGTATTAGGTTTTGTTCCCTGCTAATTTTAGTGCTAGTGTTTTGGTTAGTGGTCATGTCACATATTATTTTCATCACTAAGCACGTTGTGTAGAAAATTTTATTGGAGTGTGAGAAAATGTAATGTTAGGTTTTTAGGGACAGATGCTGAGGATGTAAGTGGCAGGGTTATTTTAAGGATTCAGGTGAGTTTTGGGATAGGGTAAGAGTGAGTGTTGGGTTTAGAGTTAGTTCAAGAGTTAGAATGAGGATTAAGGTTAGGGTTAGTGTTAGGCTTTAAGAGCATCATAGTGTTCAGGATTCAGGTTTAGGTTACCTTTGTTGTTCGTGGTTAGGGTTAGGTTAGAATATTAGGGTTATTTTAGGTTAGGCTTTTGGGTTAAGATAGGGGTTAGGGTTAAGGTTGCACTTGGGGTTCATGTGTGAGTTAAGTCAGTGTTGGTGATGAGTTTGGTGTTAAGTTTTTGGGATTATGAATAAATTATAGTGTTATGATTTGCAGATATGTTTCGGGTTTAGTTTTAGTATGAGTGTGAGTGGTAGGTCTAGGGATTAGGATGAACATCAGAAGTACGGTGAGGATCAAGGATAGAATAAGGATTAGAGTGTGGTTAGGGTTAAGGGTAAGGATTTAGAGTTAGAGTCAGGGTCATAAAGTTGCTGGAATATATGTCTAGTGGAATCACTGTATGGTCACAAAAGAGATTCTATTAATGAAAATAAATATATTTGGATATTCTTTACAACAGGAGAGACCCAAGATTGGGGAAAAGTTTTTTATTTAGTAGTATTTTATTTAGTAGTTTTTTATTTAGTATTGTCTTAAGGTGATTTTAAATTGTTTTATTCTTCTTTAGTTGTGTTTTTATAAACTTCCTACACAAATTTTGAAGCCATGTAAATTAAACTATATCCTGTTCTATTCAAAATAATCTCAGAAGCATGTATTGCTTACCAAGGATAAAGGTGCCTAAACTTTTATAATTAAAGTGAATTTTGAATAAATACAATCTTTATAATTATAGCTAATTGATTAATAGTAACCAATATTCCCTGGGCACTTACTATGTGCCAGCCACTGGACTACATGGTGTGGGAGTGTGTGTATTGTGGATTATTTGTATTTTACATATGCACAGTGCATATAGGTTTACTTCTCCCAATCCACATGAAACGGCCTCAGCATACAATATGACCACAGTGGTGCAACACAGCTGTCCTGGAGTTAAGCATTATATTTTCCTTTGCAGATGACAAAACAGAGTCACAGTCTAATTCAGCACTTTATAGCTAACTCATGTCGAACTCAAATAAGATGGATTTGACCAAATCCATGGCTTTACTGTATCACACTGTACCTCCTATGCTGATGTAAGATAGAAAAATACATAAATCATATTGTATCAGATTGGTAATTTGCTACATGTGTACCATGTGACATAACTACAAAATTTGAAGAGGAAAAAGAAATTCTGAAGTAATATGTGCCAATTGTCAGCCAGAAAAAGCCAAAATGCAATAAAACAATCAAACTAACACGTACTAGCATGGAGGCGGCAGTGATTGCAGACCTAAATTCTCCCATTGCCTCAATGATACAATAACTGATCTTTATATTATTAAGCCAGAATCCTCCCAGGTACACAAGTATTAAAACATCACACTGTATACCTTACACATGTACAATTTTTATTTTTAATTGTAATTTACTAAAGCTGAAGAGCAAAATAAACTCAGTATGTTCAAGGCAATTAGGAAATATATGTCAAATTTAGAAGGTATTCTAGTCAATACAATTAAAAGAACAAAGTATAACTAGAACTGTGAAAAATTCAGATATTGGGAACTTTACATTATAGTAGATACATATTCTATTTTGACTGGTAATTTTCGTTAAAGGCAAAATAAACTTTTCATGCCATTAGCTATTGTTCCTTTTGCCAATTCAGAATTAATATAAACATCAGTGTATAAACTGGTTCATCTCTGACTGTACCTACCTTGAGATATGACAGTCTCAACGTTCAGTTGCATGGTATGGATAAAAAAGACTTTCAGGTAAGAACAAGATGCTGCGCAGTTGAAAATAAAGGGCAGATCTGGTTTTTGTGCTTCCTTTCCCCATCTCCCACCTAGAATTTGCATTTGGTTTAATAATCAATATTATAAGGTTGCAATTTGTACATACATGTCGCTTCCAATACCACCAGTATTATCTTCATTGTAGTAAGAATTCAGCTGTCACCTATATGTTTATTGTCACACTTTACACACATTAAGAATTTAAGGATGGCACATCCTTCATAATCATGCATGACTAACCTGCCAGTGTAGTATTCAGTGTTCCCAGTTTGAGATTCTACCTCCTGACAAGCTTCATAAAAGGGAAGAAATAAAACTGACTTGCATTCTATACAAGATGTCGGTTCTATAAATGCCAGAAAGGAAAGCAAAATGAACAGTTGGAGCATATGGCCGTGAGTGAGCTGACAGCCCGAAGAAACTAGCTCTGCACGAACAACAAGGAGCATCTTGAAATGTTCAAGACATATGTGTTTAGGATGATGACTGAAGTGTTTCATAATAAAAGCAGGACCAAGTGAACCATGAGTGCCGAATAAAGTTTTAATTAAAAATAAGTTTTTAGCCTTCCATGTGAATGTACAATATGCTTCACAGATGGATTTTATATTTAAGTTTTATTCAAACCCAAAAAAGTGAGGCAAATAAAGCTTCTGAAAATGGCATTAAGGCTGAACTGCGTATAAACAAAGGAGGGCTCTGGGACAAACAAACAGGGAAGGGAGAGCCACTCTTTTGTCGTCTATTTTCTGTGTGTACATTGCAGACTAGATGATGCAACTTACCAGTGGTGCAGACATGTTTTTCTCCAGTTTAAATATTTCATAGGCATGCACAGTTAGGAAACCAACTAAATATTTAACAATGGAGAAGTGGTTAGATGACTTTATGTAGTCAATTCTAATCAGGAAGTGCATTTATGTTCTATTTTAGAAAAATGAAATGATATGTACATTTAAATCATAGGATACATACTTCATAAAATAAAACCTAATTTTGTAGTAGAGCATAAAAATATATCACTATGTATCTCAGCACTCTTACTTTTATATATTTACTTTTCTAAATCTTGTATATTTTATGCAGTATTGCTTTATAAAATCAGAAAATAACATTTGAAAATCCAATTAAAATTGAAATATTTATCTAGAAAAATAGCTGTAAAAACAATAATCATTCTAAATTCATAAGAACTTTTTAAAAATAAAACTTTGATGTATAAGAAATGGTGACGCTTATCTATATAAATTCATGCAAGGTAGGAGAAATTTATTTAAAACCCATCGGTTTTATGGAAATAACAAATGATAATATTTCTCCATCTAGTAGATGAAAGTGTAATGACAATGCTTTTGAGTGCACACAGTGACAACGGTCTACCTTTTTTCGTGCATATGAAAAAAATGTTGCAATCACCAAAAAACAATTTTCCTCTGTCTTGCAGGGGACCTGAAATAATTTTGACTGTTTTGCTTAGGATTATCAATAAAAACTTCTCCAGATTTTGCAGCCTCTATGCCAAAAACACATTCATTGCACAACACAGTTTAGGAACAATATGACAACCACTGCTTAGCTATAAAAGGGAATAATACAGCATAAAATTTTCTATCCTTTAGGAAAATTCAAAGTATATTTAACATGTCTTTGTTAAGTAGTAGATTACCTTACAACAGCACTTTTTATTAAAAACAGAATTAATAAACGTAAGAGAAAAAAAGCTGTAATATGTATATGGAATCACTCCTCACGATGATTTTAAACTCTATGAATTGCAAATATGTACTAATAAACTTTTAAAAAACTATATTAGTAAGAGAAAAATAAGCTATACTGTTTCAGAAAGTAAATATCTTATGAGTTCAATAGATTGTCAGCAAAATACAAAAACAATGATAAATATCATTTATAGTTTTTACCATGTTTTGGGTATTGTTTTAAATACTTAATTGTTAACTAATTTAATCATAACACTGTCTCCATGGGTTTTAAATAATCACAACAACTTTATGAAAATATCTTCCATTTTATTAGGGAGAAACCTATTTATAAAGGTTGATAACACAGAGGTGACAAACTCAGGGGAGGAAATCTGGAGTGTATACAACATATTGCTCTTAGGCCAATTGGAGCTCTTCACAAACTACAACTTCCTTTCCCTGGATCACTCATGAAAGCAAGTTATCCTGATAGTGTCTAGTATTTGTCGGAGAATACCCACATGTTCTCCCATCTAATCATAATATTTTGCTGAAGACGGCAGATTAATGTTATTGTCTTATTTCATAGGAAGACAAAAGGGAAGGTCAGAAACGTTGGAAGTGGTTTTTCTGCTATGCAACATTGCAGTTCACCTCTGATGTTATGGTTTGTGCCTAGATGTCCCCGCTCCCAAAGCCTCATGCAGTCATGGAGGCAGGTTTCTAGAGTTTGTGATTGATTCACAGTCCAAAGCTGGGATTACGTGAGTGCTACACCTGTCATAAGGCAGGTAGCTTGTATACAATACAAGGGACAGAAAGAGGCTTGTCTCCCTCTCATCCTCGTCCCCCGCTTGCTTTTGCTGTCTTTCACTGCCATGAACTCTGGCCCCTCTACCGTGTGGGAACAGAAACCTCTATATACTCTTCCCTTAACTTGGGGGGTGATGTATTTTGTCTCAGCAATAAGAAAATAAACTAGGTTATCTGGTAATAGAAGTACACATAGGTACTAG